TCATCACCATCATCCCCATCACCATCACTACCACCACCATCACCATCACAATCACCATCACCATCACCATCAGCATCAGCATCACTATCATCATCATCAGCAGCAGCATCATCATCATGTTCATCAGCATCATCATCAACAACAGCATCATCATCATCATCATCATCATCATCATCATCATCATCATCAGCATCACGATCGACATCGTAATCGTCATCGCCTTCGTTGTCACCATCATCCTTGTTCAGACTAAAATGCCAAGAGTTTGTACATGATCTGCATGTATCCTCGGTACATCAATCCTGGACTACACCCCAGGTACAGGTACACGCAAGATGCACAGAAAGGGGGCGAAGGAGAAGGGAAAGAATGGGGAAAAAGGGAACCAGAATGGCAAGTACAGTTCACGACTGCGCAGCGCCTGGCAAGAAAACGCCACGGCACCCTATGTTGTATAGCGCTGTAAAGAACGATAACAAAAATGAACACGGCACTGAGCCGACACAACGGAATTCGGCCAAACGCTCGGGGGTCTGCGAGGACGCGTGATTCTCTCTCCCACCAATCCCCTACACCAGCCTCTAACGACGAACTTCCCAAAAGCTCGAAGATGCTCCAAGAGCTTCTTAGAAGCTCACAAGGAGCGCGTGAAGAGGCCTCCAGCGAGGCTCCCACAAGCGATTAAAACACGTGCGAAGGTCTTTTTTGCACTGTTTTCGATGTCTTCCGACCCAAGATGGCCAGATGAAAGCATTGCGCAATCCTAGGAACCTGCGAAGGCAGCCTCAGACGGCCGCAAGCCCCAAGACGGTCTAAAGACTACTGGATCTCTCCACAACGCGGCCCAATACTGACCCAAGAAATACACTAAGAGGACTTCAGCACGGCCCGGAACCTGCCAAGATGACTTCACGATGGCTCAGCTGGACACGGGCGGGCAGCCGTTGAACAGAGCCTGGCGCGCAGCGGCTAGCAGCCGCGGTGCGCAACAAAAACATGGTGGACCCACCGCCGCGCCATCATTCGGGACAACCAGACGTGCTGGTAGACCCTATCGTCAGGGATGACCAGACGCGTTGATGCCAGGATTAAGGAAAGAAGGGCCCAATAAGAGCAACCACTGAGCTCTGCAGGCAGCGGCGGCACCAGGCGCAGCGCCGCGACGCTACCCAGCATCAGCGAGGATTCTTCCTCATCCTCCTCCTCCTCCCCCTCCTCCTCCTCCGCCCCCTCCTCCATCCTCCTCCTTCTACTTCTCCTTCTCCTCTTCCTCCTCCTCCTCCCTCCTCCTCTTCCTCCTCCTCCTCCTCCACCTCCTCCTCCTCCTCCTCATCATCATCACCATCATCCTCCATTAATTTTGTTTCTCAATAAGTCCTCCCTGTCGCACCACGAGGTCAGTTTTTAGGGCGGCCCCGGCGTTTCGCCTGAGACTTCCACACCATTTATGACCCTGAAGCTAAAAAAATGGCAACAGTTTCACAAATGGAGGGCGGGTCGTTTTCAAAATGCGGCTTTCGCTTTAGCGCCACGCACATTCGTTTAAAAAATTGTCAGAGTTTCACGGATTGAAGGCGGATCATTTTCAAAATGTGGCTCTCGCCTTAGCGCCGTGCTCACTCGCTTTAAAAATGTGCAAGGGTTCACGAACTGGAGACGATTAAGTTTCAAAATGTGACTCTCGCCTTAGCGCCGCGCACTTCGTTTTACAAGTTTGCAAGAGTTCACGGATTCCCATGATCAACGTATCAGCAACGGTTTTTGTCAGGATTCAGGATTACGAGGGTGCAACAGTAAGTTGATTCGCGGAGTTGAAACCCCAGGAATGGCGTTCTGGCACGATTCAAGATCGTCAAGACGCAACAGTCAGGTTGATCCGTGCCGTTGGAATCCTGGGAACAATGTTTTGACATGCTTCCGGGTCTTCAAACGGTTGTCGTCCAACGAGGCAGTTCCCTCAATGGAAATGATCCCTCAGTGGAAATGAACCCGTGTAGAGACATATAAGAGGGAGCTTGGAGGGATGGTTTATTCCAACATCGATGATGACTCTTGGGACTCTTGGGTTTACACTGCTCCTCCTGTTCCTCCTCCTCCTCCTCCTCCTCCTCCATCCTCCACTTCCTCCTCCTCCTCCTCCTCCTCCTCGGTCCTCTTCCTCATACTCTTCCTCCTCCTCCTCCGACCCCCTCCTCCTCCCCTCCTCCTCCTCCTCCTCCTCCCTCCTCCTCCTCCTCCTCCTCCCCCTCCAACCTCCTCCTCCTCTGCCTCCCTCCTCCTCCTCCTCCTTCTCCTCCTCCTCCTCCTCCTCCTCCTTCTCATCCTCGTCGACAGTCCTAAAGGACCAGCATAGCAGCAGCAGCAGCCGATGCAGCAGAAACGGCGTCCGACTCGCGAGCACGAGGATGAGAAGGCGAAGGTGGGGCTAGCCAAGGCCTTCGTCAAGGCCTTCGCCGAGAAGACCCTCAAGAACGGGATCGGAGGCCGCCATTGGTTCGCGGTGCCACCGGACTGGATTGTTCCCGAAGCGCGCGACGGTGAGGACAACGATGACGATGGCGGTGACGACAACTGCTGTCGCTGCGGGCCTTGGCTCGGTGGTTGCCGCGCCTCCGCCCTGCCCTCTGCAGCTTCTCCATCCAAGACCTGCGCGCGCGGAGGCGCCTCGCCGTCGCCGCCGTCGCTGCCGCCGCCGTTGTCGTCGCCCCCGTCGTCGCCGTCGCTCGTCGTCACCGCCGTCGCAGCTGACGTCGTCGCTGCCGCCGTCGCCACCGCCGTCACCGTCCCCATCCCCATCCCCGTTCCCGTAGTCCCCGTGGTCGTCGTCGTCGTCGTCGTCGTCGTCGTCCTCGTGGTCGTCGTCGTCGACGTCCTCGCCGCAGCCGCCGTCGTCGTCGTCGTCGTCGTCGTCGCCGTCAACGTCCCCGTCAACGTCCGCGTCCCCGTCCCGTTCCCCGTCCCAATCCCCGTCGTCGATGTCGTCGTCGTCGTCGCCGCAGCCGCCGTCGTCGTCTTCGTTGTCTTCCTCGTCATAACCGTCGTCGTCTTTTCCGTCGTTGTTTCGTGCTCGTCGTCGTCCTCGTCCTCGTCGTCGTCCTCGTTCTTTTTGCTTCATCCCCCAACGGGTGACTCCTCCCTCCCCCCAGATCTCCGACGACTCGTTTCTTTCGAAAGCGCCGCCCCCTGGGATTCTCGATACGTTTCCTGGGACGGGTTCTGATCATGAGTATATCTTTAACGGCCCCACGGCATTGGAATTGCCTCCGAAAATCGAAAATGTCATTTAAAATCTGGCGCATGTTCTGTTGATGACGCCAGGTCTGGACCCTCCTCCTACTCCTCCGGCAACGCAGGTTTCCCTCCCTGCTCCGCTGGCCGTCGCCGGCTGGTTTGGAGATCAGGGCCAGAGACTGGTGGCTGGGGTGCCGCAGCAAAAATTGGCATCCTCGTCACTGCACCCCTCTCTTGATAGACAAATCCTCCTCGTCAGACCACAAGAATATGTCAGTAGGGCGGGGAGGGCGGGTTCGCAGAAGACTCACTCCCCGCACGTGACCCCACGTGGGATCTCCAAGAACTACACGACTGCAAGAGCATTTTCTAAATGAGGTTTTCGCCCTAGCGCCGCACCACTCGTTTTAATAACCTCCGACTTCTACATGAATGAATGGTCTATCATATGGGGCAATCCCATTCTTCAACATGCGGTCATCGCATTAGCGCCGCGCACAGTTGTCCCTTAACACTTAAAACAGCTGCCTAGTCAGATGGGTATGTTTCAAAATGATGTCATCGTCTTTCAAACAACCAAAAACGTACACGAAAAGAGGGCGGTTTTCTAACAATTGAACTTCCTGAGTCCTCACGGGCGTAATATGGATTTGCAACGGCTACACGGCTGGAGGGCGGCTCCTTTTCCAAATCGGGGTCATAGCTTCAGAAAACAAACGACACCACCCCACCGACGGCCCCGCGGGGCTTTGCGTATGCTTTTGCGTGGTATACGCTACGGTCCCCCAGTGAGCCGTACCGCCATGGAGGGCCGTAAGAGGGTTGTGTCGTTTGTTCTTTGGTCGAGCAGGTGGAAACATGAAGTAGGAAGGCGGATAAAGTTGATGCGGTTCGGGCCCGCCCAACGAATATCAAAGCACAACAAAAACAGATCGATGCTTGAAGAGGCAGGGCGCTGGGAAGCAAATTGCGATTTGGGAACCCAAAAATTATGCACCTTCGACGACTGGCGCGCGCAACCGGAACACCAGGGTCCGAGCGAGGCCGAGAACATCTCAGAACCAGGCGGGGCCCACGCGCCCACACTGCTGATGGCCACACATGTTACAAGAAACTCGCCACGGATTGAAGGCGGCTCTTTTTCAAAGCGGGGCTCTCGCTGGACAGTTCCTTCGCCTCTATGACCATCCCTCGCCGCCGTCCTTATAGCTGGAAGCATGGACGGCAGCTCCTTTTCAAATCGGGGCTCTCGCCTTGGAGCGTTCGTCTTTCAACAGGGCAGTTCCTGTAATGAAGGAATATTGTTGCAAGGGCTTATGAGGAGGCGAGTTGGGACGGGTGGGCGCATGGCTGCACCAGTGATGCATACTGGATATTGTATGGTCCTCCTCCTCCTCCTCCTCCTCCTCCTCCTCCTCCTCCTCCTCCTTCTCCTCTTTTTTATATGCCTTCCTCCGCCTCCCCCTCCTCCTCCTCCTCCTCCTCCTGCTGTTGCTGCTGTTCCTCTTCCTCATTATCTTCTTCTTTTTCTCCTCCGTCCTCCTCCTCCTCCTCCTCCTCCTCCTCCTCCGGTCCTCCGGTCCTCCGGTCCTCCTCGTCCTCCTCCTCCTCGTCCTCCTCCTCCTCCTCCTCCTCCTCCTCCTCCTCCTCCTCCTCCTCCTCCTCCTCCTCCTCCTCCTCCTCCTCCTCCTCCTCCTCCTCCTCCTCCTCCTCCTCCTTTTCCTCCTCCTACTGCTGCTGCTTGGTCGAGCGAGGATGTGTATCACCGCAGCGAGGCGATGATGTCAGGTGGTTGCTCTCTGGAAGCAGCAATGGTAGGTTACGCCACCCCTGCTCGCCTGGGCATAATACGGCTACAACTCGTCATCGTCGTCGACCGAACAGCACATGAGTGCGACGAGACTTATAACACTAAAGACTCCAATGGCCCAGGGGCAACTACACAGGCCAAGTGTGAGGATCCTTCCGAGGGCTGCCAGGGGGGTCAGAAAAGATAGAGTACACGCTACGAAATTCAACACTAGATTCTGCAACGCACTGTATACTGCAGAGGAAAGAGAGAGGAAAGCAGGAGACGAGGGGTGGTAAATCTCTGACATCATTACTGATGCTGCTGCGCCCTCCCACAAGAGAAAGGCAGCAGCAACGCATGCAATCAGCAAATGACCAAGGAAAAACATGATGATATCACTTAGCCTACCCCGCAACGGCGTCAGTGCCTCGAGGGCCCACTGCAAGACGTCTGAGGAGATGGCGCACGCGGCCCAGCACACGAGGACCATCACGGAGGTGGCAGCCTTGAAAAGGGAGAATAGTCGGATCAACAGTTTCACTCTTCATCTTCTGGCGATGTCAAGTGGTTCAGCAGCAGCTCAGCTTTCGCCGCCTTGCCCATGCTTGAAGTCTTGGTGAGGCCGCTCTCTTTCAAGAGTTTGTCCCAGTCGGAGGCTTTGATCTTCGTGAGGCAACCGATGGACTCGCAGAACTCCTTGGGTTCCTTCGGGTATGAGCTGATGTCCTCTGAGGGGGCCAACGCCTGCAGCATGTCGTTCATCACCTTCTGCTGGGCATTTTTGAAGTCCTCGGGCGAGGGCTTCAAGGGGATTCCAAGCTTCTTCGCGCCTCTGCCCACCAGCGTCGACGGCGAGCCGGCGGGTTCACGCCCGGCGGCAGCGATGTCGAGCATGGCATTATGCATCTCGGCGAGCTGCTTCTTCGCGTTGTCCAGGTCGGACCTCGACGAGGATTAGGCTGCGGCTCTGGCTATTTCTGCTTTCTTTGCGTTATGCATCTTGGCTGGGTGCTTCGCGATCTTCCTGGAATTTATCTGGCTGTTCGAACTGCTGGAACTGCTTGGGGCCTGCCTCGATGCTGCGCTGCTTGCGTTTGACGCGTCACTGCCGCGGGCTTTGAGCTTGCGGCTGGCGAACGCCGGGAACTTGAATTTCTTCGACTTCGGAGCGCCTCCATCACCAGATCGCCGTCACTGCTTTCAACGCTGTCTTCTTCACTTCTTGTCATGAAAGTCTCGTTCTCTGCTGCGGATTGCTCGGCATGCTAGCGACGAGGGAATGTCTCATTCACTGCCGCGGCCGATTCCACGGCATTCATCACGTAGGCGGGTAGGCGAGTGTCTTGGCTCTGTCCACCACCTGTTCCTCCACCTGGAGTGCTGCGTTGGGCACCTGAGCCTCCAGATCCACCCTTCCACGGGCGGTTCCACTTGCGCGCCATTGCATGCGCAACACCACGGGGTCGCGGGATAAAACCTGAAGAAGACACCGCGGGTGCGATTGAGATATGGATGCCCACTGCACGTGGGCGCGCACTGGTTCTTGGAGAGCTCGAGGAAAGGCCACGGACAAAGCGGCAACGCCATGGACTCCGGGGCATCCGCGCCCAGGGGCATCCAGTCACACTGCGTGGCCAACCACTGGAAAAGAAACTGACCACAGAAGCGGTCTGCTGGGCGCCCTCGGAGCACCAGATCACTATTACCAAGCCACTTCCCGAAGAGCCGAACGATAGCGAAAAATATCGATTTATGTCGTCCCGGACTGTTTTGCAGGGCTCGGCTAAGCACTGGGGCAGGCCAATCGCATTTGAGTATTTCACTCATCAGGCATAGGAAAGCCATGCGCGCATAGCGCGCATTACCCCCAGACATGTCGCCGCACACCAGGACGCGATCCAGGGCCAAGGTGCGCAATGCACTACATGATAACCCCTCTGGGGCTGCGCTCCATACGGGGAACTTGTCGCAGTGGGGGGTAGCTCCCAGGGCTCGGGCATACTGTTCTTCATGCGAAAATGGATGGACCTCGACGTTTCCTGAGACCTCCAGAATACGGACCTGCAGAAAATCCATCGGAAGCGCTGCGCCCTCTTCCGCGACACCGACGTCTCGCGGCCACGGGCGCCGGATGAAACCAAAGCAACAGGATGAGCAGAAGACGCGAGAACAGAGGAGGGAATCGCCCACACGTTGCAGACCTTGCAAGAGCTGGCGAGGTAGGAAGTCACGAAATCGCAATCCAATCTCGCGGCCTCCGGAGGATGAGGAGTTGAGGTCACGAATGTCCTCGCCCAAATCACACCGGGCGGCCGGCTCCGACATAGCTCCCCCCATGGGCCAGCCTTTAGCGCGCGAGCAGACCTCGCGCCCCAGAAGGAAGTCGGCGCCCCGAGCAGCATAACGCACGGCGCGCCCAAAGGCCTCGAAGGATAACACGTCGCATTCGGGGGGGCACGCGCTGTCCTGCACAACATGGGCGACCACGAGCTCGGGGCGAACGGCGCACTGCGATTGCACTCTGTCCTGTTCTCTCGCGAATTCGAACAAGCAGAGCATCACAACGCGTGATACCACGTCCAGTACTTGCGTCTTTGAAAAATTGGCTTGCAACGGCTTTTCT